GTGGAAAAAGTAAAATAAAAATCGTCATTACGGGCGAAAAATCGTCAAATCGTCATTGAGCTAGAAAAACGTCAAAATGATGGTGGTTATCGTGTCACGATGCAGTTTTGCGAGGATCACCCCGAACTACAAACTGGCAAAAGCTGCCCAAGAACTCCAAATAAATTGCAAACATTTCGGGAGCAGTTTACAGATAATTTAAATGCTATCCGTAGTCTTAAAGTGTGTTTGCATTGTTAAACTTTGCGTTCAACTCAGCGCAGGGTTGCACTAAGAAAAGTTGAATGGCTAAAAATATCAAAATATGAAAAAATATCAAAATATTCGCCACAAAAAGGTTCATTGTTCAACTTTGCATTCAAGTTTTGGTTGAATGGCCTTTCAACTAAACGCTTTCAACGAAGTTGGTCGCCAGCCAACATTTCGCCGTTCAACTTTTTTTCGTGCAACCCTGCGCTGAGTTGAACGCTAAGTTGAACAATGCAAACACTGCTTTACGCGAACTACCGCAAAGTGAAAATACCTTTTTAGTTTTTTTAAATACACTCATGTACACATTTCAACACACCCATTGAGGTAAATTAAATGGCTTAGCAGTTTTTATTTAGCAAAAGTTTATCACTTGTATTAGCAGAATGAATAAAATTCAAAACACACTTAGGTCTGCTGCGGTATATGCGTTCCTCAGAAAGCCACATAGAAAAAAATCCGTTTAAAAAAGTTCTTTACTTTCATACAAAAACAGGGGATGCGTTTCTGCATTTTCAAAAGCCGCATAAATTCAGATACTCCATGTAAAAAATTATAAAAACCGCATAAAACAATCCAAATATTAAACAAAACAATTTATTTCTTCACTTCAATACTTATTATTCCATGTATAACTGAACATTAATTAAATAAATAAAATTTTATATGTATTTTAACTAAAAACAAAAAAAAAACAAGTAAGAAAGTCTAAGTTCGGGTGGAGCCGAACATTAAATACCCCGCGCAAGTATTAAATATAGTATGTTTTTTCACCTTTCCGAAAGCTACAGCTAGATGGTAAACCGGGGTGTATCAATTTTGAGTAAATAAGCGTCCTTAAATTTCGAAATATTGCAGTTTCAAGCATTTCTGAAATTTACCGTTATATGAAAAGCGGCCGTAATTTTAGTCCGATTTCAATAATTTTCAACGTTTTGCTTTTATG